CCTTGTAGGGTGGGTACTGGAAACAGTTTTTGCAACGTCACTAAATGCCGCCATCTTGTTTTTCCTGGGAGAGTCAATTTGGGTATATTATTTTTTTAAATTACTCAATTCAATTGTAGACCTTTATTGTATTAAAATGTTGTGATGTCTTTTCAACTTAATGTAATTTTTTAAGTATTTATTGTATTGTAACGAAATATGAAAGTTAAAAACTGGAGGAAAGTGTTACATACCTATACTTTCAAATCACTACATTTTTACTAATGCTACAGAGAATGAAGTAATCAAATTATTTTTTTACTACGTAATTTTTTGACGAGGAGCTCGACTAGTTTCAAGCCGTACTAGAGGCTCATATTCATGAGCAGCATTCTGCGACACACGAAGTAATAAATTGTTTTAAGTAGGTAGCTACTCATATAAGCTACTCGTATATTATTAATTCAAATTTATCTAAGACCTATATAAGTAAACTCCAAATAAAGTAGTACGTACTTTATTTGGATCAAATCTTAGTTTATATGATTTGACAGTTTATTGAAAAGTTTCCAATAGTATTAATGAGTTTATTAAAACTGAATACTGAAAGGCCACTCAATCTTAATTTGTACCTAAATATCGTACCATCTCTATCATTTTACAAAGAATTTGTAGAGACAGAACTATACTTAAGCGCGAATGAAAATTGAGTGTCGTTTGAGTATTCGGTAACTCTATTCTTTACGCTCTGTACCAAAGACTTTCATAGCGAAGACATGAATAATGAAATTATTGATAAGCAACTATATATCATTTTATTATACTTGTACATTATTAATTGTTATTAGAAGGTAATGTGAAAGAACACCTGTTTCGTTGCCATGTGGCTTTTTTCTCATATACTGATGAAGACAGTCTTTGTTTTTATAATAACTATCGTGAGACATACTTAACCGCGCACGCTGTTCATGAGGAAGAACCCCTCTGTGGTTCGAAACAAGTAGAGCTTTTCTCTTTATTTTAATTAATTAAGACCGTCTTTGTTCAAAACCTATGAACGTCAAATTGAAAATAATATCTGAAGAAGAGTGCAGGGTCAAAACCTGGCTAATTTCAATGTGACTTTTTACGTGTTTTATGTCCGTTTTAAACTGAGACACCACTGACAAACGGTGAAGGAAAATATCGTGAGAAAATTTGCACTTGTAAATTTCAAATTAGAAGTTTGGAATTAGCAATCCATTTTATTTTTTAAAAACGTTGCCCCACACTTGCATTTTCTTATGTGTCGTGGGTGCGTTTACAAACATACAAGTTCACATACACATGACACCCAGACTCGGTACAACAAACTGTCGATCACACAAAGAGCTGTTAAGTGTGGGAATCGGACCCGTACACGTTGCCCGGCAGCCAGTTGCCCAGCCGCCGCGCCAATCGGGCAGTCATAACATAACATCACGTCTTTTATCCCCGAAGGGGTAGGCAAAGGTGCACATTATGGCACTTAATGTTTTTGTACAATGTAACATCCACTTTTCACTTTTAATGTTATGAGTCCCATGTAATAAGGGGTGAGCCTATTGCCATATACCAGACACAATCCCACACTCCATGCTACTACTGCCGATTAAAAAAAACCAGTATAATTTTACCCGACTGAACCGAACCCGAGACCCCTTGCCCGGCAGTGGCAATTGCGAACACACGGCCAATGAGGCAGTCTAAGATATAAGTAATTTGTAGTTGAAATGACATTTTCACCTTGCCATCAGCCGCGCCCCCTTTCAGTATAGCCTAAGTACCAACCGCCATTAATGAAGTTAAAAACGGTGAGTCATTCTCACGCGTATACTTGTACACTGTACATAATAACATAACATGAGCTGACATTCTGGGAATAAATGACATACTACATTGCTATTTATAACTATAGCCATAAATGAACACTAGTAATAAAGCACGCTACACACCTTACGGCTTAACTGAGGTGTTTAAATGTGTACGGCCATACCTTATTTTTTTTTTGAGGGGAATGTCATCCAATTATTATGCCGCCCGAGTGAGACGAGAGCGAGTGCCAGACTCTTACAGCATAAAACCCACCCCGTTCCTACTCCTGCACTTCCAGCCGGAGCCCCGATATCCTGTTAAGTCTTCCGCGGCTCTGTATGTGTAGGTCTATACCTACGATTTATCTAACTGAAGATGTGTAGCCTGAATTAGGTTATACACGCACACATGCATAAACCACTGACATTTTGGTGCTTCAATCGTTTGAAGTGACATTATGTCCGTGTTTTTTCAATGTCCTTGCTTACTCGATGATCTGCAAAATAAATTAGTAGATAATATTGAATGTCAAAGAAAACTAAACACAATGTTTACTTTGTATGTAGAAATGTGCAAGCACAAAGACAACGAGCAAGCAGATTACTTGCAATAACTACTATGCAAATATTTACAGGAAATGAGACTTTATATGTATGTATAATTAAGATAATATTGCATTATCATCATTATATTTCTACGATGACGTATATTTACGTTTTGAATTGATTGCGAAATAATAATGGTTGACATAACATAACATCATGCCTTTTATCCGCGAAGGAATAGACAGAGTTGCACATTATGCCACTGTACAATGTAACACCCACTTTTCACTATTTATGTTATCAGTCCCATGTAGTAGGGGGTATAGAGGTAGGGAGAGTTTTTTTAAAAACCCAGTAATACTTTGCGCGACCCGGGAATCGAAGCCGAGACCGGCAGTGATTGACTGATGGGTTTGTTTATTTATGTGAGCACGCTTATCACCGGTACTACTGGTTCCAATTGAATAAATCTTTCTGTGTTACATAGCCCATTTATCAAGGAAGGCCATAGGCATAAACTTTACGCTACAATCAATAAGTGCCGAGCAGAGCGAGTGAAACTGTAGGGTTAGTCTGTGGATGTAATATTAGGAACAATGTTAACTTGTTTGCAATTACTTATAGAAATTATATAAATAAAACAGCCAAATGTAACGGAGATAAATCCAACCAGTAAGAAAATTTAAGACGGTTACAAATACCTAATAATATATTTAGTAAATAAAGATATTGTCTATGGAATTCCAGTTTCCATTTAAACTAATTCTAGAATAAACGTGTAAATATTGAACCTTTCATTTTTATCTTTTTTATCTTATCATCACATTAACAGGACAAATAGGAATTCATATAATTTTATTAATAAGGCACTTTTGATTGAAGTACAATGCATCCAATGATTATATTTGATGGGTCTTTGTTTGCATAACGTAATGAATGGAACCAGTGTTGAGGAGTCTCAATTTTAAAAGTCATTGTTAAGTGCGCACCACACTACAAGGTTATATTTATTTTTAAAAAATTAAAAGAAAATAAGCCTTCATTACTGAGTTTCCAAATTCACAATTCATTCACTATTATTATGCATCAGTACTTTTATCTCCAGCTTGTCCTTCGACAAAGTCTTAAGATTTACACTTATATTATTATGTTTTAGGCTTACTCACGTAATTATTTGACGAGGAACTCGACTAGTTTCAAGCCATGCTAGAGGCTCATATTCATGAGCAGCATTTCGCGACCCGCGACGCGGCGACTGTCGCCCGACATTTGCTAAATATATTATTATTATGGCGACAGTCGCCGCGTATCGAGCCTCTAGTATGGTATATATATAAATAGTACATATATATATACATACATAAATATATATCGACATAGCGTTGCAGCGATTTTAGATAGAATTTGTTAACTTGATGTTTAAAGGATATTAAATCAGTTGGTATAATCATAAAGTATAGTGAAACTACTCTAATATGTAAACTTTTTTCAAGGTTATAAATATAAGGTTGCAAAAATCTAATAAAGAAATTCGACAGAAACATACTTATGTATTATTTTCGACTTTGATTTAACTAAAAATCGCGGGTTACTCACGTGAATATACTGAGAAAAGCTGTACTAGTTTCGAACCACAGAGGGGTTCTTTCTCATGAGCAGCGTGCAGTCTACTGGCCAGCGTTGGCGCTCGCCTCGGTGTTGCTGCCGGACACCATGAGCGTTTGCTTCATAATCCGGCGGCGGCGCGCCGGACGATGTTGACGCGCACGGTACGTTCGCTAGCGGTACGGGTAGTGGGTTCGATTCCGGGTTCGGCACAAAGTCAGTGCTACATATAACGCTAAACAGACTAGAGACGTTGCGGATCGACGTAGACTCCAAGCTCGGCTTCCACGAGACTGGCAGTACCCAGCCACCACCTCTGTTGAAGCACGGTTGATTTGCTATTCTATATTATAAATTATATTATTAAATGAAACTATATATAATATTTTATATTCGTAACAATTTTGTTGTTAAAAACCATCAGGGGGCTTACTCTTGAATCCAATTCCGATCGATCGACATTGGTATTGTGAAATTTCGTACTCTTGAGTTGCAACACTAGCTCCCATTGCACCTGTATTGCGTGGATATTGAATGAACTAAATGGCATTGGGTTTGTTTTTGTATTCCGAACTCTGAATGCTATTTCAACAGCTGCGATAGGGGTTGTACAGTTTTGACATTGAATAATTATGAGATTTTATTGGATTTAAATTGCATTGACATTGAGATTGGTTTCAAGAGTAAGCACCCTGATCAGCTTTTAATTTCATTCTTATATCGAACATATAAGTTCAATATATAAGGAACATGATCCATGTTCTTAATTAAAGTTTATTTTTGTAACGAAGTTAAATTATGCACACATTGTACAAGGCCATCACAGATCTAGCTATAATATATATTGTAGCTAGGTCTGTGACAGCTTTAATTATTCCCTACCTGGTTACCAGTGATAGATAAAACAAAATATAATGCCACTCCAGTGTGCATAAACCCTTTATCATTAATAGCGTTTGTTATTTAAGTAAGTATTGTGTTGTAAGAAGGCATAGTATCTGAATAGTCGTTACGATAGTGTCATCGTTCTCATACATAATGCAAGTCGAAATATGCCCTGAAAATTTCAAACTCAAAAATCAATACGTCTGCCCAAATAAGATCTCAAATAAAGTCGATCAGTGTATCAGAAACATAGCAGACAACAATGGATTTGTCAAGTACAGCATTGAAAAGAAAGAATTCTGTACAAATGGAGGCAATTATCTAGGATTACTTTACGAAGTTGATGTAAATGGACACACAAAAGAAGGCAAGAAAGAACTAAATATATTCGTCAAAAGCATTCTCACAGGTAACTGTGATTTGGAAATACTATCTGTACACGACGTCTATAAAACTGAAATGTTCGCTTACAAAGTACTTTTGAAGATATTTGATGAACTACAAGAAGGAGCTAATGTACCAGAGAAGGAAAGGTACAAAATGGTCAAGAGTTATGAAGAGAGTGATGCAGAAGTAATTATAATGGAAAATGTCGCAAAAAAGGGATTCAGTACTGGACATAGGATGGATGTTCCATCTTTACAGTTTGCAGAAAAGGCTATTGCAGAACTTGCCAAATTCCATTCATTTGCTTTCGTGCTAAAGGTAAAGCGACCAGACTTTTTTGAAGAGCAAATTAAAAATAGGAAAACGCCGTATAATGCTGGCGAGCAATGGCAAGGTCTCGCACAGAATATGATTAAGACGGTAATGGATAATATAGATGATGGAGTCAAGGAACGAGTTGAGAATTTTTGTAAAAATATTGGGGAGCGATTCACGAGTTTTTATGAAGATGAGTCTATACGACGATGTCTTTGCCATGGTGATTACAGGCCTAACAATATACTGACCAAAACCGTCGTAAGTGAATTAGATATTTTAATTAAATAATACTTATTGTAGAGTTTCTGTATATTCTGGTTCGAGTTTTATTTACTAGTTAAACGCTATCTTCTGTAGGAGTTGCGGATGAGAAGTTACAGGAGTCGGTCTATCGAAATATTAGACCCAAATCATAACATTAATAGTATCAAAACACACACTTACTCTAAACAAACTATCTCTTTGTAGATCGAAATAGAAACATAATAGGAAATACAATATTAGTTTTACAAGATAAGAGTTATCATGTAGCATTATGAAATAGCATCTTACGCATCTTTTATCAGTTATGTATTATAGGTATTTCTCAGTTAGTTGAAAATTGTTAAAAGAATAAATATAATATACTAGCTTCTAACCGTGACTTCGTACGCGCAATCCAGTTTTCTCCGGTTCCTATAAGATTTTCAGGTTTTTTTTCTATCATAAGAACCTTCTCCTGACAATAATAAACACAACAAAAAAAATCAACCAAATCAGTCCAGCCATTCTCAAGTTATAGCGTGATAACGGAAACGGGTTTCATTTTTATATATATAGATAAATATACTTTGCTTTACCTAAATTGAATTCAAATAAAATTAGCAGCTGTTTTAAGTTCAGATAAAGTGGAAATAGCTGATAAAATTATTAATATCTAATTTTCCAACAGGATGGAGAGATAACAGAACTGATTCCAGTGGACTATCAACTGATGTACTACGGATGTCCCATAATAGACTTCTTATATTTCATCATGGTCTGTACCGATAAGCCGTTCCGCAAAGCCCATTTGATGCACTTGAAAGACGTATACCACATGACGATGACAAGATTTTTGAAATATTTTGACTTGGACATCGACAATTTTTATTCACGGGAAGATTTTGAGAAGGACTATGAAGGGAGATTGGGTTATGGGCTTGTATTCTCTCTCATATTTCTTCCTTTTATGTTCGCTACGGAAAATGATGTCCCTGATCTGTCAAAGGATGATATGGCTAATTTAAGTATCAATGTTGATGATAGGTACAAGAATCGGATTCAAGGAATTGTTGACGATTACATTGAGTGGGGTATTATTTAAAGTATTCCATGTAAAGTTTTTGTTTTCTATTTTCTTTTTAATTTTTGTTTTAATGTCTTTAAACAGATTTGTTTGACTTGTTTTGTTATCGAATGGGTCTTGGGCATTATTATAATTTGTCATTTTTTAAAGTTGCTGTGTTCCATAATATTTGTGTAGACAATATTATTATATTTTATTATTTATATTTTATTGTTGGTTATAAAATAATTAAATGCACTTTTGTTGATTTTTATGTGTTTTTGTTTTAATTTGCAACTAAATTAAACGTAATAATTTTGATTGAAGTACAGAATGTACTTTTTAACTGTACGTGTTATGTTCAACGTACAAAATAAACTCGTTACAATTTACAAAAATATTGGATGCAAATAAATATAATATTACAATACGTTTTTACATCAATACCTACAATCTGCAATAGTTGTTTCGTCAATACACACGATTGCACCAGAGACTCGATAAAAACAACGATTACCGAATCAAAAGCCGAACTTTTCCGAACCAGAAACCGAGTCATTCCGAAGTATGCCGAATGAGTTCGGAACTAGTTTTATCACATGTCTCGGCTAATGTTTTGTTCATTCCAGTCTTAAAACTGAACGAGTAAACGCAGTGTCTTGCTCTTTCGTAGTAATTTTATTTTGTGTTTCGGGTAACAAGTGATTGTTTTTTTACGTTTTGTTATAACCTAATTTTATCTTTCGATAATCTAGTGACCTTTTTAGATAAAGAATTTGTTAGAAAGAAAAGATTCGATAAAATTGTTAATATATCTACGTTATATATTTTTGTTGTTATTAAACAGCAATATGGAAGAAAAGCGAGGTACTCAAATGGATGAGAGTGTAGATATTTTACCACAAAACTTACAGAAGAATATTGAGAGCATCGCAAGGAGTGAAGGGTTCGTAACTTACAAGATTACAAGTAAAAACTTATCAACCAAAGGTGGTAGTTATATGGGCATTTTATACGAAGTGAACATAAAAGGAAAAACTAAAGATGAAGATAAAGAAACAAACATATTTGTTAAGAACATAGTCACTAACGAAAAAATGAAAATATATTCGGTGACGGACGTGTTCGCAAAAGAAGCATTTGTCTATACGGAACTTTCGAAAATATTTACAGAAATACAAGAAGAAGCAAATATACCAAATGGAGAAAGATTCCTAATGGCTAAATGTTATGAGGAATGCAATCCAAAATCTATCATTCTTGAGAATTTGGTTCAAAGGGGATATAAAGTCTATGACAGAATGGAAACAATTCCTTTAGATTACGCTAAAATGTGTGTCCAACAGCTTGGTAAACTCCATGGTCTTTCAATGGTCCTTAGAGAAAAAAGACCAGACTATTTTAATAAGCACATTGTAACTATGAGACAACCATTTAATTTTGAAGAAGATTGGTATGGCTATGTCGAGAATATGTACAACTATTCAATAAATTGTTTAGACCCTGATGTGAAGGAAAGAGTTGGACAAAAGATTAAGGACAAAGTCAACCATTATCCCAAGTATATGAATGATACATCTGGGTTTTGTACATTCTGCCATGGTGATTACAAACATAATAATATTATGGTGAAAGAAGATGTGAGTAGAATTCATTTCATCCCTAATTATTTCAAATTTTCAATTAACGCTTTTCTATTTTTGTATGTAATACTCGTATGTTACAAAAAATTTAATTGACCATATAGGTTAGACAGTTAATAATGAAGTACATTGTATGTGTTATCAATATCATGAATACACTAATTTTTATTTAAATTTCAGGGCGGAAAGCTAAAGGAAGTAGTTACCATTGATTTCCAAATATCACATTACGGGTGCCCAATTTTGGATTTCCTATACTTCATTTTCAACGGCACCGATCAAGAATTTAGAAAGGAACATTTGTCAAGTCTAAAGGATTTATATTACGGGACTATGGAAAAGTTTTTGGAAAAATTTGGAATGGATATTTCTAAGATCTTTCCTAGAATAGAATTTGATAGAGTGTATAAGGAAAAGTTGGATTTTGGATTGATGATCAACGTGTTTTATGTTCCATTTCTATTTGCTGTGGCTGATGAGGCTCCCGATGTTGCCAATGAGACCTTGTCGACTTTATCTTTTAATGTCGATAGTAAATTCACTCCGAGGTTTCGTGGTGTAGTCGATGATTTTATACAATGGGGCTACTTGTAATGACATACATACAATTGTAATTTTTTTTTATTCATTATATGGCTTTTTATATACAATGTTTTTGTTTATTTAACCACCTATTCGAGAGTAGTAAGTCGAGTTTTGTGTGTGTCTATACTTAATTTAATGTATCTGAATATTATCATTTGTTTATTTTATATAGTTGGCACTATTCAAGTTCATTTAATTTACTGTCCTATATTTTTTTTAAATTATGGTTTTGTTGGCTTGTCAGCTACTAATTACCATGGCATCAATGGAACGAACACCTATGTCTAACATACTTCTATAGTGTACCTACTCATCTTTTAAAGAAAAAATACGCCGTAGATATTTATACAAATACACAAAATGACCTTTCATTTGCGAATAAAATATGCGGAAATGTACCTAAATGTAAAAGGTTTCTTATTAATTTATTATTCTTCTGCCCTTTAAACAGATTTTCTTAGAAGATATAAAACCTTATTTTGTTAGGAATAAGGTAATGCAAACTGAGATAATTTAATGATCTTGCGTGCGTCGTGTTTTTCTATTAAATTCGACCCCTTAGGGATAAGTGAGGTTCCACGAATTGTCTCACTCACCGCCTTGAGGCGCATGCGCGCAAACTTTGATATGAACTATTGCTATTTTATTATTACTAGGTGTATGTTGTTTAACTTACGTCTTCTTTGAATAACTCGTCCTCACGCGACTAATGGAAAGGTTCAGAGTTCAATATCCAGGTCGAGGGTTTCAATGGTATTTTAAAAGGTAATAGCAACATACTCTGTTTTCTCACAAGTGTTATTCATATTAATAAACTGTACTTTAGTTTTGTTTACTAGAAATACTTGCCTGCATGCTCTTGAGACAATGGAATTAATTATCTTAATGTTTGTCTGTTTAATCTATAGTGTAAGTCCTTGTGTACAAAGGGGCCATAGGATTGGGATAAGCTCAATATACCCAAACAAAAACTTTGTTCTTGTCGGATAAGCCGGTAAACGAGCAGACGGATAACCTGATGGTAAGCAATCGGCGTCGCCCATGGATACCTGGAACACCAGAGGCGTTACAAGTGCTTTTCCGGCCTTTTGGGAATTAGGAATTTGAGGATTGTTGGGTATTCAGAGATTGGGGAAGGGGAAGAGGGTAATTGGACCTCTGGTAACCTCACTCACAGGACGCAACACAACGCAAGCGTTGTTCCACGTCGGTTTTCTGTGAGGCCGTGGTATCAGTCTAGTCGAGCCAACCCATTCGTGCCGAAGTATGGCTCTCCCACATTAAATCCAATTTAGTACTTTACATATTTTGGTGGGAAAATCTTTAATCATTAATCGTATTGTGATTCAAAGTACGTACATAAGCTATACATATAAAATGCTAAGTATTTCATTATAATGAACATTAACATTCATATCGCACTATAAATAACTTAAATAACAGGTAATAACAATTAATAGTAATTTATTAATATGATTAAAATAATATTAGAAGTATTTACATTACTGTAAAGGTATTTAAATGGCATAAACTAATCGCATAATATTACATTAATATTAAATTACTTACACATGAGCTCGTCAAAGGGGTAAGCAGAAACCATGTTCAGTTTGTAATTAACTTAATGTATGCGTGAAGTTTGAAGATATCTTCAATCTAGAGGAGAAAATCACCCAATGACTTCTTCCACCTTGGGTGAGGCGAGAGGGAGTGTCAGAATCTAACTGACTAAAAACCATCCGTTCCTATTACTACTTTGAAGGGTTAATTTTTTTGATAACACTTTATACTAGGAAAATCTGTCGCGGAGAACCTAACGGGTAACCGGGGATCCGGCTCGACGTGCAGGAGAAGGAACGGGGTGGTTTATAGTCAGTAAGAGTCTGACACTCCCTCCTGCCTTACCCAGGCGGGAGCAGTCATTCGATGATTTTCCCCCTTAAAAAAAAAAATACTAAGAAAATCTAATACAAAAACGCGAGCATTAATGCACAATGCAATCATTAGATCAATGGAATCTAATAGACCATATTCCACTACAACAAAGAATACACTCTGTAAAATGAAATTTCCATTACATATAGGTACTTACAATTTCTTTCACTAGAATATTGCTCGGTCGATAGTCGCCGTGACGTAAGCTCAGTCGTCCAGTCGTACCTTCCAAATATTTGCGATATTTCGCATTGAATTTCGGAATGAAATCTTCCAACTTTCTCTTACTATTTCTCGTCCAAATAATTTAACGCAATTTGCCACATATTTTGTAGGAAACCAGAAATCTTTGTCCAAACTAAATGCCACTTTGATTGTTTTTATTTTCCTTTCAAATAATTCGTTCGCTTTGATTCCAAAACGAAACACAACTTGTGGAATTTCATCAATTGATGGCATTGCCATTTGTCATTTGTGCGTATTGTACAGTGTTTATGTTTACCCTAATATTAGTTTGGAAACCTCTTTTTGGTCATATTTTCAGGAGAACCACATTAGGAATGCTCGTTTTTTCGACAAATGTACATGTATCTTTCGTCCAGTGTTAGATGAACTTCATTTTGTAGCTCTGTGAATATTTCTGAGAGTTCTGCGTAAACGTACTATATACAGTGTTTTCCAAAATATATCCTTTAACCCTTTGAGTACCGTCATTATAGACACAATTAAACTGTTAAGCACCATGAGGACACCGGTGACCGCAACCTATTGTTCTTTCAGTTTAACTCAAAATATTTAGGAAAATTTTTTGGTAAAGCTTAATGGTAGCTACGTCATTTTAGAGTATATATATATTATTTTGTGAAATTAAAATTAACTATTAATCTAATTATGAGATTATTAATATATACAACTTCAAATATAAACAATTTAAAACTAAAATATTTACACCTTAAAATTTTTAATAAGTCATATGTGACCAAAAGTGACATTGAGGATAAAGAGGTTACGATTTAAAGGTAACTAGCTATGGACGTGCCAAATCTCTGAAAAAGATTCGTCGATACATGCACCAAAAACCCTATCTATGCACCTCTGCCTACCACTAAACGAGATTAAACTACGTAAAGTCAAGTTAAAGTAAGCAGTATTAAATATTTGAAACAATTCTGTTTTGTTCTTTACGTATATAGTAGACTACAGTGGGCTATAATAGCCAATGATGGCCGCTTAATTACTTAAGTGCAAGTTAATACTCAGTGCTTAGGTACTTAATGTTATGTTATTTTATGGTTATTACAAGGGCCGTGCTTATGTGACTTCTAAGTTTGATGGTGCGGCTACTTTGGAATGCTACTGTTGGCTAATGTTTTTAATTATGTATAAGACTAAAACTTATGAATTAAATAAAACTAATGTGTTGCTTCATAAAAAAAGAAAGACATTTAATGTTGTTTTTTTTTCTTTCTTTGGCAACCGAGTCTCCAATACGATGTTGTCGACTATACTGCCAGTGTCGAGTGGTGACGGCAGATTAATGCCCCGTTGAATTTTAACTTTGCGGTAGTTTTCAGTTGTTAGTAGCTGAAAAGGACAAAAACAATTGGGTTAGTAAACATATACCGTCAATAGACCTTTTTTTTTTTTTTGAGGGGGGAAAATCATCCAATGACTTCTCCCGCCTGGGTGAGGCGGGAGGGAGTGTCAGACTCTTACTGACTAAAAACCACCCCGTTCCTACTCCTGCACTTCGAGCCGGAGCCCCGGCAACTAAGATTATAATATTATTACCTAGCACAAGATAGATAATTAGATACATAATAGGGAAACAATCATAACACATAATATTTACATGATTACACACCGTTATATTTTAATATTATTTTCTTTCATAAATTTGGACAAGCACTTAATTAATTTGTGAGAAAAAATAGTTAGGAGTGCGTGGAAGTTAATTGGAAGAGGCATTTGGATTTTGGGAAGGTTTCCATATAGATCAAAGGACTGGGAATTTAGAGGGCAAGAGAAAAATATGTGGTCTAGGGTTCCCTCATTAAGACACATTTAATGTTTATTCTTCCACAAATTCTTTAACACAAAATTCTTATACTGACGTTAAAACAAACCACAGACTATTTGACAATTTAAAGTTATCAATCCAAAATCAAAGAAAACCTTTTTTCTTTATATATGTTTGTGTGTATGGTTGTTTGTGTGTGCTAATGAGCAGATTGTGCTTTTTAAGTTAAAATGGAAAAAATGGAAGGCAACGCACCTGTGACTCCTCTGGTGTTTTGAGTGTCTATGGGTGGCACTGATGGCTTACCATTACGTGATCGTGAAATTGTCGTAAAGGACACTTCTTAGTGTCATTCACATAAATTTAGTTTTCTACTCTCTCAGTTAGTAGGCAAGCGCTAAAGTGGCGTTTGGCTAAAGGCACAGGAAAGAATTAAAGTACTGGAGAACATTTGACTTTGAAAATAACCCAACACAAAAATTATTATTGGGGAAACGCCAGAAAAATGAGTGATCACAATCAATAACATTTTCACAAACATGTTTTTTAAGCTAACCGAAAAAAATATTTTGGGAAAATAAAGAGTATAATAGATTACTCTTGGCATGCTTTGTGCCTCGCCGGGGAGCGGCCTAGAAACCTATTTATCAGTTGTAATAAAGCCAGCGGGACAATGAAAGCTATTGAAAGGATAAATAGAAAATATTTTTTGATTCAGATTCTCTTTAAGTGCGTTCGTGCTTGGTCGAAATGTTGTTTATTTATTTTGATTGTGCCTGTTAGTCAAGAAGTTGGTTGCTATGGGTAATTATTTATAATGCACTTTTTTAACTATAAAATAACATAATATCACGGATTCTATCCCCGAAGGGGTAGGCAGAGGTGCACATTGTGGCACTTAATGCCACTGTACAATGTAACACCCACTTTTCACTATTAATGTTCACCCCTAAAGGAAGGATGAAGGAAAGAAATGGGACTCATTCCCATGTAATAGGGGTGAGCCTATTGCCATATAACGGGCGCATTTACAGACTCCGTGCTACTACTGAGA